AAAGTATGCTCCTTTATTGAAAAAGCAAAGTAAGCAAACTTACACATTTGACCCATGAAGTACAAATGCACCCCTCCCCCAGCCACTCTGCAGAGCAGGCTGGGTGGGGGTCTGAGGCATTATATGTGCCTCTATCTTAAAATTCCGCTGCTGAATATTCTGGTTTAGCTTAAGAAGTATCCAGCAACCTTGTTCTGCCAGGCTTGGAGACTGAAACCTCAGGCTTTCTTGCTCAGAGTAAAATGGCCCTGGGCCTCCCCCTTCTTTCTTTTCTCCCTTCCCCCTCCCTTTCTGTATTAACTATTTGCTCTGTCCTAGGCAGGGGGGAGATAAGGGCTTTTTATTACAGGCAGACTAAAAATTAACTAGTGGTCTGACCTTTGTTTAAACTTTCTTGGGACTTTTATGACCCTTTTACAATTTTTGTAAATAGTTAACTTTAGAACTTATTTCTCTTTTAACATTTCTCTTTTCCTTCTCATCACATATGCAACCTTCACAAATTTCACACTTTCAAATTAGCCTTCAAACCTTCTATGTCCTTCAAAAATGCATAACCAGCCGTAGCCGGTTTGGCTCAGTGGATAGAGCGTCGGCCTGCGGACTCAAGGGTCCTGGGTTTGATTCTGGTCAAGGGCATGTACCTTGGTTGCGGGCACATCCCCAGTAGGGGGTGGGCAGGAGGCAGCTGATCGATGTTTCTCTCTCATCGATGTTTCTAACTCTCTATCCCTCTTCCTTCCTCTCTGTAAAAAAATCAATAAAATATATGTTTTTTAAAAATGCATAACCATTCCACAGCCCTTCCATTAATTATTTCTACTCTAATAATCTTTCTGTCATACCTTCAGCAACTTGTACAGACCTTTTCTTTCTTTTTTCTTTAAAATGTATTAGAATTCTTCACTCTTAGGAACCTTAATTTTTCAATGATAACCAAAAAGTAAACAGGCAACATTTCTTAGACTGACATTTATCAACACACTTTAAACACACTCTTACCTTCTTTTTAAAAAAAATATATTTTATTGATTTTTTACAGAGAGGAAGGGAGAGGGATAGAGAGTTAGAAACATCGATGAGAGAGAAACATCGATCAGCTGCCTCCTGCACACTCCCCACTGGGAATATGCCCGCAACCAAGGTACATGCCCTTGACCGGAATCGAACCCGGGACCCTTGAGTCCGCAGGCCGATGCTCTATCCACTGAGCCAAGCCGGTGAGGGCCACACTCTTACTTTCAAGAAAATATACATTCAACGAAGTATAAGAGATCTTCTGTAATAAAAACTAAGAGCAGGTTAATTAAAATGTACCTAGCAATTAATGTTTCAATATTTTATGTTATTTTAAATATTTATCATTTAACCCAGCAATGCTCCAAAGCCTTTAAGTTATCCAAGACTTTGGAAAATTATGTACAGGCATATGCGGCTGAAGAAAAGGTGAGGTGGGGAGAGAGCAGGCTCAGCAGCCCATTCCCAGGCCTCTAGTGGCTTGGATTTAAAACTGTCGACTTTTTCCTTAGAGATAATATGCTAAGGTTTGGGTGATAATGAGAAAAGAATGAATGAAGGTATTTAGTAAGATGCAGTGTAGAGGTGAGGTGGCTAATGGCTGTGAGACTAATCCACCAACCCCATAATAGAGACTGAGGAGCGGACAAGGGTCCCAGCAAATTCGGAGACGGCAGAATAAATGGCCCAGTGGCCTTCCCTTCCGCACCGTGGGCAGGGGGTCTCGGGTTTGAGCAGGGCTTGGCTCAGTGTCCTTCCTTGTTGCATTTCAAGCATGGGCCCGGAGGAGGTTTAGACCCTGACTTACCCTTGGTTGGAGGACCGGCACTTGGTTTGGGGTTCATGAGAGTAGTGGCCAGGAGCTGGAAGGCCTCCTTCTGGGCCTCAGCCTTGGCCTGACTTGTCTTTGTTTTGGGATTTGGGTCCCTTTGTCTCTATCATTAAAGACCTTAAAGGTCAGGTTAATGGGCTCTTTTTGAGGGGTTTGTGGACCTGTGTCTATTTTTTGAAGTTTATGGTGTGTGTCAGGAGCTGACTATAATAAAAGCATAATATGCTAATTAGACCGGACGTCCTTCCGGATGAAGCCGGAGTTGCCTCTGCCAGGGCTGGGGCACCAGCAGCCTTAGCCCGTGGAGCCCCTTGCATGAATTTTGTGCATTGAGCCTCTAATTGGGATATAAAATGGGTGTTCAGAAGAAGGGTTTCCACTGGGGAGGTGGGGTCTAAGGTGGTAAATTTCTGTAGAGGAGGACAGGAGGACACAGATGTGGTGCCAGGTCAGGTCATGGGCTGGGTCAGACACTCAAATTCCTTAGTAAAGGTGGTCAGGTCAGTGGAAAAAGACCTGAGTTGACTCAATCTGTGTGAGGCTGGACATAGAGAATGGGATGTGGACTCAGACGATGCCCTCAATTCCAGCTGCCTCCCTCGGGAGTGGAATTGGCGTGAGAATAGAAGAGGCTGTTGAGGAAGGCAGACTTTGGGTGGCCTGAGAACGAGTGTGAGATGGGAAAGGCTGTTTGAAGCTCATGTTCTCAGGATTTGGGCTCTCAGGGAGTGGGGGAGAAGGTGGTTAGGAGGGTCTGGATTTTGGGAATCTACTGCAGGTGAGGGAGAGGAGGGAGTGGAGGCCAGTGGTCTGCTGGGTCAAAAGTAGATTCAGAATTAGAAATGTTAGGGGTAAGATGTTTTGTGTGAAGGAGAAAGAGCTGATAGGTAGAGCAGGACTGAGAGGGAGGATTGGGACTGAAGGGTGAAAAAAGGGCTGACGTAGGGAATCTCTGACCATTTTCCAATGCAGTGACAGCAATGATCTAAATTGCTTAGTGTGTTAAAATTGAAAGTGCTGTTTGCAGGTCTTTGAGGCTTATCTAGTTTATGCTGTGGCCAAACAGTGTTACAAAATAAAATGAGGTGGCTGAGCATGATCTCCCGTGAGTGTGCAGAGGGAGTGTAGCGTGGAGAGAGGAAGGGTGAGTGACAGACCACAAATCCAAAGGTGACTGTTTAGGGCAGGGGTTCCTGCTGCTAAACAAATCACCATGAGAAATGAGAGGTGGCCCTCTGGACTGGGCGTCCCCAATCCAGAAGGACCCAAAGCCAAATGGCTGAAGAATCTTCTGGCCTAGCACACTAGGACTTTTGAGATGAGAGACTTCTGAGAAGTCAGTGAGAGAGAGTGGGCAGAAGACCCGGGATGAGGGCAATTGTGGAATGTCACTCACCTAGAGAAGATTGGCTGGTGTGGGATGGAGGGTCAGCACTGGAGAAGGAGAGATTCCCTGTCCGGTGTCTTCCTTGGCTGGCTGGCTGGGGTTGAGGGGGGATCCCCATAAAGAAGGGAGGCCTGATTGAGGCCGGCAATTGAGTCACCCAAGTAGGATTCAGAGGTAAGCCCAAGAAAAGCTGTCGCTGCCTACTGCTAAGTAGAAAACTCGGGGTGACCAAAGCCGGGGCGATGGCTCCCCATCCCCATGGAACCCTCCTGGGTCTCGGCACCAAATGTTAGCCAGCAGGAGGCTGATGAAGGAGCTTAAAGAAATCTGCAAATGTGGAATGAAAAACTTCGGTAACATCCAGCTTGATGAAGCTAATTTATTAACTTGGCAAGGGCTTATTGTTCCTGACAACCCTCCATATGCTAAGGGGGCCTTCAATGCCACAACCTTTTGCGGCGGGGGTTCAGTATCTGAAGAAGGGGCCGATGCACAAATGAAAACATTAGACAAGAAATATGAATTTAGAAGGCATGGGGGGCGAGGTGGAGACCTCTCTCTTCAAGAGGCACACTGAAACCTGACCTTATCTGCTTTTTATTCAGTTTTAGATACACATCTTGCCCTCAGTAAAGCACGACAAACAGGTACTTTGAGGCTATTAGGCCAGGAAGTTGCTTTGAGCCATCAATATCTCAACACAGCCCAGCTAATGTCCAAGGTCCATCGGCCTTCCACGTTCCTGCGTGCACTCTTATGACAGTATTAGGAAAGCGGTGGCTTCCCGCACTTCAGAATGGAAATCAACTTTCCAACAGACTACCCATTTAAACAACTGAAGATTACATTTAAAACAAAGATCTATCACCCTAACATCGATGAAAAGGGACAGGTCTGTCTGCCGGTAATTAGTGCTGAAAACTGGAAGCCAGCAACAAAAACCAAGTAATCCAGTCTCTCATAGCACTGGTGAATGAATGACCACCAGCCTGAGCACCCCCTTCAGGCTGACCTAGCTGAAGAATACTCTAAAGACCGTAAAAAATTCTGTAAGAATGCTGCAAAGTTTACAAAGAAATATGGGGAAAAGTGACCTGTGGATTAAAATCTGCCACAACGCCCGACTGGTTTGGCTCAGTGGATAGAGCGTCAGCCTGCGGACTGAGGGGTCCCAGGTTCGATTCCGGTCAGGAGCATGTGCCTTGGTTGCGGGCACATCACCGGTGGGGGGTGTGCAGGAGGCAGCTGATCGATGTTCCTCTCTCATCGATGTTTCTAACTCTCTATCCTTCTCCCTTCCTCTCTGTAAAAAATCAATGAAATATATTTAAAAAAAAAATCTGCCACGATTCATTCCAGCGAGTGTGAGCAGAGACCCCGAGCAGAGCATTCAGACACCCCGCAAAGCAGGACTCTGTGGAAAATAGACACAGGCCACCACCTGGCATTTGCTTGTGGCAGTTACTAACTTTCTACAGTTGTCTTAATCAAAAGTAGTCTTAGGTAACCTGTAATGAAAGGATTAAAAATTTAAGAAAAGAAAGCTACAGTGGGGAGATAGATATCAGGCATGATTGACTTTAGCCACTTGAGTTTTTAAGTGTCATTTTCCCCCCTCACATTGAAGTAGGGCAATCTGTTCCTAAAGCCTACACAAGGTTCTGGACAAAAACCACACAATAAAAACAACAACAAAAACAAAAACAATACAAAACCACAAATCTAATCTGAAACTGAAAGTATATCTCTCTCCCACATAAAAAGGCCAGAGCACTGCCTTCTCAGGCACTTCTATCAAAGACAGACCAGGACCAAGGATCTCCAGGAAATCAGGTACCTGATAACTCAGTTCTGGTCTCTGAAGGGGAAGGGTCTCTGAGTGTGAGGACCCCAAGAGGGGCACTGAGGAGAGAATGGTGTTTGGATGGGACTGGAAGACTATCTGAAGCCAGAGGTGATTCCTACAGTGGCAGTTATTCCAAGAGCCAAAGCCACAAAGTCAGTTCTGTGTAAGGAACATTCTAGATAGGGAGGTGAGGTCAGACCTGGCAAATAGGGAACCATATCGAAGAACAGACATGCTGTCTATCCATCCCTCTTTAACTTAAAACCTTAATCTTAGATTGTGCAATTTATATCCCAGAATCCTGATGCAGTACTGTTGGTCCCTGTGTCTCATGGTCACTTGTGCAAAAGGGCTCTCCTGCTTCCTATGGTTAGTCAAGCCTAGATCTCCAGGTCAGAATAGGAATATACTTATTTCCCCCCTTCCCCACACCAACTTCTACCTTTCCTTCAAACCAAGAACCCCCGCGAAAGCTTCCATGCATGTTAGCTCCCCTGATAGAAGTAAAGGCTGACAACATTGAGAGATGTTCAGAAGTATTGACTTAAGTTTGAGCCCCAGATTAACAAAACTTTGAGATGATCTTAAAAAACACACACAACTGACACATTTGTGAAAGGACTCATAGTAAATTTTTTAGGGGGAGTAAAATGTCAGGGCTTGTGAAGGATCCACTAAACTGTGGTCTGTTTTTCTCACTGGCCATCTGAGTGACACCCTGCTCTGCCTATGACCAGGATTAACTGTTTCTTTACCAGCTCCCTACTGATTCACTTCTCCCTGTGTGCAGGACCCAGGCAGAAGTCCTGGTTAGCTGTGCAGAAAGCAGAGTATGCAGGACTGGGGCTCCCAGATTTGCAGTAGGGACCGAGTCATCAGCACACTCACAGTGGAACTAATGTTCACACCTCACTTTCATTATCTTATATTTTTTTGCAGTTAGTTTTGAACTTGGAGATGACTTCTCTTCTAGCCACAGCAGTTCGCTTTTTGATCCTAACTCCATGGCTAACACAACAGGTAATATATATCACCCCCTCCAATCTGCATCCTGCTGACCGGCTTTTCCCTCACATCTTTAAAAGTATAGAGTTCCCACAGTTGAGTCTGAGGGCAGAGCCATTTAGAGAGCATGAGTCTGAAAAGATTATTTTAAATATCTAGAAACAAAACAGAGTAACAAAGCCTAGTTTTTCCTTTTTACACTACTCACGGTATAAGATTGTCTTCATGTGTGTACCATACATGAGAGCTATGACAGGAACATGTCGATTTCATGCTAAGCAAGAAGTCCAGACTGTGGGCTCTGGGCGCATCCAGTACTTGCAAATGGGTCCAAGAACACTACCTCTTCTCTACAGGTGACCGGCCGGGTACAACCAGCTAATACATGTTGGCTAGACATGGCTGATGATGCGTTTGATGATCAGTATGACGGCTGTATTAACGAAATGGAGGCTAAAGCACCCCAGCTGTTAGAAGAAGAACTTAAAGTGAATAGAAATTTAAATGCAGAATGGAAAAAGGCAAAGACAAAATGGGAGGAAATAAAGAACAAAATAGACTCATCAAAACAACTCAAAGATTCCCATGGAATAGCTCTAGTCGCCTATACTGGAGATATTGGAACAGAATTTAACAAAGCTGTCAGAAACTTCCATCAAAATACAAATAAGTTTCAGTTTAAAGCCTTCCATTATTATTTGACAAGAGCTCTTCAGCTTCTCAAGCCAACGAATTGTTATACAGTTTATAGAGGCTATAAGACAAAGTGTAATTACATTGGAAAAGGAAATGTACGTTTTGGCCAAGTTGCCTCATCATCTCTCTCTGAAAAAGTAGCTATAAATTTTACTGACAATCGTAAGGGAACACTGTTTACCATCAGAACCTGTTTGGGTGTTAAAATTGAAATGTTCTCTTACATTCCATCACAAAAGGAAGTGCTAATTCCAGGCTATGAAGAATATCAGAATGTCATCCAAAATAACAATGACGTTTCACTTGACAGGCCCAAAATATCTAAGAGTAACTACAATTGCTTCTATATCAACAGCTCAGGTGAGTCTGGGACTGTGTCCCAGGTGGGAGTGGTGGGGACATCCTGGAATAGAAGAGGGAGTTCTCTGCTACCAGAAGCTACCAGGGCAGAGAACAATGGGGCCTTCAACCAATTGCTGATGAGTATTAGGTCCCTAAAAATACAGGGCTGATATCCTGGAATAGAGAGCAGCTCAGGCAGTTCCTCGTCCGGCCATGCTCTTAACGTCCCTGCTGTGCAAAACGGTCAGAAAGAACTGCTGGACACCAGGAAACATGAGTTTTGGAAACTAATATGTCAGGTGGTATAGGAAAGGTTGGGAGAGTTGGGAGACCTGTTCTCAGGCAGGACAATACAGCCACTGCAGTAATCCTGCCAGGAGATGAGGGTGCCTGAACTGAGCAGGGGGCTGTGGGGATCAAGGGAAGCTGGGGAACTGGTGTTGTCTATGAGATATTCTAGGAGAAAGACAGGAGGGGCAGTATGGTTAGAAAATAGGATGGTGGGCCTTGAGATTTCCAGTGTCGGTAGTTTTCAGGTTGTGAGTTGTTTGTAGGTCATTTCCATAGCAGAGGTTGGTTATATTGAAGAACAGGTGAATAGTGTTGGAGCTGAGGAAATCAAAGAACTGAAAGAGTTTGCACCAATAGTAGACCACATGCACAGGATGATACCTAGACTTATGAAGGTTAGAGATGGTAAAACCATCAGTGAAGGCATATGAGTGAAGACATAACAGTAGTGGCTGAAAGGCTGTTTACCTGTCCAGCCCTGTGATGGGTGAGAAAGTGCCACCAAGGGTTGCTTCCACTTTACCCAACCTTTCCCAAGGTGTCCTGGCTCTCAGGTTTCCTAGCATTTACACCTATCATTCCTTCTGGCCTGAGATCTCTGACTTCATGTCGTATTTCATCCAATCTGAGACACTATCAATTTAGTAAAGTAATTATCTTTCACTAGCTCAGATATCACTTCTAATTCTAAGGCTTCCTTGATACTCTCAGGCAAAATTAAATATTGTACCATGCTCCATGCCATAAGTTCAGAGTCAGACAACCTTACTGGTAATCCAGGCTCAACAAAGATTAGTTCTGTGAATTTGAACAAGTTACCTGAGCAATCTATGTTTCAACTACCTCATCTGTAAAATGAGGATACAAATAGTAATACTTCAGTAGTGTCTGTGAGAATTAAAGAAGTTCTTAACTTATCTCCCGGGACATCGGTATTGCTTAACAAATACTCTTCTTTTTTTTGCCCCCATGGAGAACCTTGTATGCATCTCAGCCATACGTTCACCATCTCTATGGTAATAATTTGTTTACAGTCTGGTAATCTCTTTAGTGCCAGAGACTTTGTCTTCCTGCTTCCTCTGCACCCAGGGCCTGTCAGTAATGCCTGGCTTTAATCAGGGCTCCAGTAGTTGTTGCTGAAGGAAGTTAGGTTTCATTGAGATGCCAGGGTCCAGCCAGAAGTGGATCTGAGCTGCAGAGGGACTGAGTATTCAGCAAGTTTCAACCAAATTAGTCGTTATGCTCTGAAAGGTTGCTGGAAACAAGAGAAAAGTTTGAGGTAGAAAGGGACTGCAGAGAATGATTACTGGGGGACTCTGAGCTTTTACCTGTAGAAATTCTGAATTTGGAGCAAGCCTAATACAAACAGGACAACCAGGAAAACAATCCTGCAGAGGAAAGGTGCTGCGCTCCCATCTCAGGCGCAGTGCTTGATGTTCATTCAGATTCAGGCAGACTGAGCTGAGACCCCAGGAGAGGAGGCCAGATCCCACCCAAAGACAGAACTCGTATTAACACTAGACTAGAGTATATATGTTGCTGCAAAAGATGTATGTTCATGAGGTCCCGACCCAGAAACATATTCCTAAGTGGACAAAGACAAACATGGAGGGGCTCCCACAGTGGCCAGGGATCTGCAGGGCCCATGTCGGGAAAGCCTTTCTTACTGAGGCACATGTGGCTGGCAGCACAGGGGCCTGAGAAGTGGGGATGGGAGGGTGTGAGGGGCCCATAGCCCTGAGAACTCAGTCCACTCAATGTGACCTTAAATTCAGAGACCCAAAAGGATGTGTTCTCACAGTCCACTCCCTCTCTGATATTCCTGGGTATTTCAGGAGCTGCTGAAAGGCAAAAGGAGATTCTAATTGCTGGCTAAGTAAAAGGAACTCCTCAGGCTCACACTGGTGGTGTTTTGATCCTGGGGGGAAGCTTGAAAAGTCTGGGAGGCACATGTCTTAAGAAACACCATAGAGAAACCAAATCTTTCCTTCTCTTCCTCCCACTGCAGGAACAAAAGAAAGTTCTGCATTCATTCTGCTGCTGCCTGGCCTCCTGGTTCTGAGGTTCCTCCCTGCTGAGCTGTAACCTTGCCCTTCCTGGTGCCTTGGTCTACATGGTGCCAGTGACCAATTCCAGCATGTCATAATTTCAAGAGTTTCATCAAAAGGTTGATGAGACTTGGGGACTCAACAGGGTTGAGTCACACATGTAGTCACCTGTTGGGAATGGCTGAAGGCATTTCCCCAAACTTGAAAGGATACATTAAATTGATTGTTGCTGCCGGACAGTTAAAGGGCAACTTAATCTGCATGTTATTGCCTCCTACTGGCCAAACACCTGAACAGTTGTAGGCTAATTCCCCCATTCTGACAATGGACTCTGTACTAAACCCTGACCCTTTGAAGTGTATATCTCTGCCCCACCTCAGGACAAATTGTGTTAATAAAAAGCATGGGGTCCTGGGGACAGGGAGAACCTAAGACCTTAGACTTAAGACCTTAGATCTTAGCTCCTTTAGCTAAGCTCCACTGACCCCCAATGCCTTTCAAAATTATATTTCATCTCCGGACTCTTTTACAGTCTCTGGATTCCTATGTCATCTGCGCACAGCCTCTTCTCCAGATTCCTGAACCCTTCTTGATGCTGGGACAAGAACCCAGGAAGCATGGGGTATTGGGAAGGGAGGGACGCAGGGTCTGTGTGTGGCTTATGTTAGTGCTCATATCCCCCAAGACATCTAAGGGATCTTCTAGGTCTAAACACAAAAGTATGCTTCCTGTCTCCAAATGCACTTGCTACCTGAGATAAGTCCCTAGTCTCTCGACACTTCGCTGTGATTAAAAAGCAATGCTTTTACACACTGTCAGCAGGAAAGGTCTTTAAAATGCAACTTAATCTTGATGAATGTTATAATCTAAAGCAATAAACCACTGATAACCACACCTTGCTTTTCTATGACTAGATATTACTACTAGCTGTATTCTTTGCCCAGGAAATTCTCCCAGATCATTAGATGTGATGCTGGCATTTTCACAGTTGAGAAGCTTCATGCCTTATACTTCTCACAAATATCCTTGAAGCCCTGATTGATTGAGCCAGAAATACCAGAGCTGTGTTAGATAAATCCTCCCTGCACCACCCCACCAGAAACCCAAGCAGTCACCAAGCCCTGTCAACTTAACAATAGCTCTCTATTGATTGGGGAAGTATTTCTTAAGACAAAAAAAAAGCATAAGCTATAAAGAAATTTTTTGACATAATAACAACAATATAACTCTAATGTATTGGGTACTTACTATGTATTAGGCACTCATTGTTCTCCATTGTTCTAAGCACTTAATATGTTTAGTCATTTAGCCCTCATAATAACCCTATAAGGTAAGGTGTATTTTTCTCCAATTTAATAATTGAGGCACTGAGGTTATGTAATTCACTGTCAAAGAATAAAACAAAGGTAAGGAACAAGGGAAGGGAATAGACTAGGGAGAGGAAGGGGGTGAAGTGTTAGGAGGGGTTATTCTAATTAAGCAGTGAAAACTAGTACTCCTCATAGGATAGAGTCCATAGGTCTGCACATAATTGGCTACAATAAATCCTAAATTCTTTGCAGTTAAAATCTGGCATACAGCCCTAGCTGGTTTGGCTCAGTGGATAGAGCGTCAGCCTGCGGACTGAAGAGTCCCAGGTTTGATTCCAGTCTAAGGCACATGTCTGGATTTCGGGCTTGATCCCTAGTTGGAGGTGTTCAGGGGGCAGTCAACCAATAACTCTCTCTCATCATTGATGTTTCTATCTCTCTCACCCTCTCCCTTCCTCTCTCTGTGAAATCAATAAGAACATATTTTTAAAAAATCGGCATACAGTCCTGGCCGGTGTTTCCCAGTGGCTTGGGCATTCTTCTGTGCATGGAAAGGTTGCCAATTTGGTTCCCCTTCGGGACACATGACCAGGTTTCGAGATGGATCCCCAGGAGCGGGGGTGCAGAAGGCCACTGATCAATGTTTCTCTCTCTCTCCCTAAATTAAAAAAAAAAAGAAAATCTGGCATAGAGGGGTCATTAAAAGTTTATGATCAACCTCAGCAGAAAGAACCACTTTGATGAAATAAAGCATCCATTTTATGTCTGTTGATCTCCTAGTTGAAAAAGGCACATTGTTGCAAAACACCTGGGGAATAAATAAAGCAGAACCCTATGTGATAAATGATGAACAGGCAATATTAGAAGGATATAACTTCCTTCTTTCCCCTTCCTCCCCCAATTCCAAATCACAAACAGCAGCTAATTGTATAACCTCATCTGTTCTAGCCAACCCCACTCTGGCCCTGACGACTTCTGTTATTACTCTTGTTAAGAGTAATTCTAAAACTGAAAGGGACCATAGGAAATGCACATTCATACCCAGAATGCTTTCTTCCTTCTGAGCATGAGGATTCTCAGAGACCCATGGAGATCAAGGGTCCACAAGTTAGGATTCTGGCAAGACTTTCAGTCAAACAAAACCAACATCCAGAGGACACTCCACAAGGGTGAGGGTATGAGCTGCTGGAACAGAATCAGTAGTTGGTCCACACCAGGGAGCTGGGAAGTGAAGGCCCTTCCTTCCTTCCTTCCTTCCTTCCTTGGAAGACACACCCTTGGCCTGTGCTGCAGGGGAGGCTGAGCTCATTAAAATACAAGATACTGACTCAGCAGACACCAACACTATTCTCTTAGAATTCAAACAACTAAGTTGTTCCAGATATTTCCTTAGGAAACGGCAACATGAGAAACGTTCCGGAGATTCACTGCCTAAGTGTTTGTGTGCAGGAGAAGGTAGAGGGGTTCTCACCCGCAGAGCAGCGTTGTGTAGGGATTGGAGAGGTGGTCAGTGCACCTCATGGTGATGGGTCAAGCGGTCATTCTGGTCAGTCTGCTGTTATGGTCGCTGGGCTTTTATTATATAGGATGCTCTCAGAACCTGCCTATATCTTCCTCAGACAACAATCTCTGTACCTGATATATCTCCATACTTGAGGGCTGTTCCAGAACCACAGAAAGCTGTCTCACTCACCCACACTCAGCAAGCTGGAAGTGCTGGGGATGAATACTTCCTGGATCAGCCCTGGGCCCATGACTGATGAGACCTGGTGTAAAATACCCCAGCTCCCCCATCTCCCTAGTGAGATGAGTCTGAGGTATGCTTTGTACCCTTTTCTAGTTGGTCTTTGACAAGTTGGTCTTTGGCTTAGTAACATACCCTTCTCTGGCTGCCTTCCCTTCCCTATGTCACTTCTCTATCTCCCCTGTAGGTGGCCCCTGCATCTCCCAAATAAACTGCCTGCACTGGGATCTTGCAGTAGGCTGGCCATTGAGGGAACCCACACTGAGACACTTTGCCTGACTGGTCTGGAATTGAGGGAAAGTGGATACATGGGTGGAGGGGGGACAATCTGTTTCAGGACTTAGAGACCAGACTGAGAGGTTAGACTCAAGCAAGGAAACCATTCATGCGCTGGGTGATATTTGAGTATTTTTCTAAAATTTACTTTTTCACATTTGATGTATTAATTACTAGGTTTCTACAAACATTGCAGTTCTCATTGAGTTCTGGCTAATAAAATCATGCTGAAATCAGAGATTGCAGCCTTTGTATCTATTATTTGGCTGTCAAAAGAAACTGTAGAGAGAGAAATATTATTAAGGTGTAACACAAAGATGAAATTCAGAGCGATGAAGCCATTCTCAAGACCCTGTTAGAGAAAAGTGAAGGCTGAGGATAGCAGTCACAAGACTATAGCTCTCATGAATAGACCATAGCTCTTGGGATTTTATTTATAGCCATCCTTTTCAATATATTCTTGCTTTTTAAAGTTATCTGGAAAGTCCCTTTAAAAACACTGGATCTTTACCCTGGCTGGCCTAGCTCAATGGTTAGAGTGTTGGCCTGTGCACAGAAGGGTCTAGGGCACATACCTGGGTTACCAGTGGGTTCGCTGCCTACCCTGCGGGGGTGGGTACAGGAGGCAACCAATAGATATGTCTCTCCCACATTGATGTTTCTCTCTCTCTCTCTCTCTCTCTTCTCCTCCCTCCCTCTCTCTCTGAAAAGCAATGGAAAAAATATCCTCAGGTGAGGATTAACAAAAAACATTGGGTCTTCAAAATTTTAATATTATTTCCTATGGTCGGAAACCTCAAATCTCAAAGCATCTACACTAATAAAAGACAAAGATGCTAACTGACCATACCTTCGCTATGCCCATCAGCCAATCAGAAGAGTATGCAAATTAACCCAATAAAGATGGGCAAGACAGCGCCATCGGCCACCCACCCCACCGCCATCCAGGCCTGCAATGTGCAACCCAGCGTGGGTTCTGGGCCTGCCATCTGCAACCCGGGGAGTGGGCCTAAGCCAGCAGGTGGTTTTCTCCTGAGGGGTCCCAGACTGTGACAGGGCACAGGTCGGGTTGAGGGACTCCGCCCCCCTCACCCCCGCCAGTGCACAAATTTTTGTGTACCGGGGCCTCTAGTCACATAATAATTGGTTGTCATGGGAAACTGCATAACTGTGACTGGTGTCTGTAACTCCTAAAGTATATAAATAGCCTAAACCCCTTTGTTGTGCAGAAAGGACTCAAAATTTCATATCTGGCTCTTCTCATTTAGGCCCAGAATAAAATTTATAAGGTTAGTGACTCTTTGTCCTAATACAACACATTTGGGAGATTTAAATTAGAAATTTGACAAATCTATCATATGCCCTCTGCCTTGCAGGCTTAGAAACATGGATCAATCTTTTATTGAGGTATTTCTCTTGCTACAAAAGTTCAGAAACATAGAATCATCTTTTATGTGTGGACTCTTATTAATCAATTTCACAGGGAATGCTGTATTAAAAACACACAGAATAACTAGGTTCGTTAATTTAGCTGGAACTCTTTCTGCAGAGGGGACTGGATATTTATATTCTCTGGTCAGGGCACTTTTGCCCAATAGGTAGGCTACCCAAGGAGTCAAATTACAATCAGAAATTTGCCTGGCACGCATGACTTCAAAACAAAGGGAATTTGATCATTTGAAAGGTTAATGACTTCACATTAAGTTGGGGTGACACTCTTCCCCTGCTCCCAGGAAAACTGAATGCATATTTTGTGTCTATGGAATGTGAAAGGGCAGAAGAAAAATTGAAGGAAAAGAATAAACCAGAATAAGTGAATCAATGATTTCCATGGAACAGCCCTCATGGCCTAAGTTTAGCAGAGCTAGAATTCCATCAAAATTCACATAACTTTCAGTTCAAAGCCTTCCATATTATTTGACAAGAGCTATTCGGCTTCTCAATCCAGGGAGGGAAGTGTTACACCATTCATAGAGGCTCCCACAAAGGTGCCTGAATATTCATTACCGTGGGCCATTTGCCTCAC